ACAGATGCGCTGACCGACGACAAACTGCGGCCTAAATCGACAAGCCGACTGCGCTAATAACTTCACATAGTGGATAATTTGTTTTTAGGACAAATGAGCTTGCGCTTGCAGAACTGGCTAAACTATGAAAACTTTCAGGGGTTCTGGGTAAGGGGCTCATTGAAAACCTCTAAGTTTGCATCTAATAGATCTAATAGGACCAATGACACATATGCAAAACAAACCGGGGAAGGTGGTCCAAAGGTCTTCATTGAGTGACAGAAAAAAGATGTCTTGGACCCCACTCAAGTCTTCATTTGCTCTTTCTCTTCAAAAAATTTTGGCTTTATCCCTCTGTAAAGGAAACCGCACGAAATGGGTTGTATACCGTTACCTGCGACTGCCAATGATGTCCAGAAAACTTCTGTGAAAAAATACTACTTCCTGACGCTTTGCTTTTTGCCTGAGCAAAATTAGTGGAGCATCCTCTGAAACGTTGGAGGAGATGAAAGCGCGAAAATTTACAAGTGTTTTTGCCTATAACACACAAAAATGGGCTCCCTTCCAGAACGCGCAGTAGCTACTCAAAGATATCATTACGTAACGGCTACATCTAGAAATGAGGAAAGCTGGAGATTAGCCAAAAGGTTGCCGCAAATTGTAACAAACAGGTGAACATCAGACTCCAGTAAACTGCGAAAGAAATTCTAAGTAAAGAAATGCATTTTAAAATAATACTTCAACCCAAATTCGCTTCTGTCTGAACGATGATGGAATTAACAAAGAGTGATGCAAGACTATGACTTCCTTTGAGCATTCCAAAATCGATAATTTTCCTTCTTTCTTATTCAATTATATAGCTGTAATGCTATCAACCGCGACTGAACTTTAAAAATTCGCTAATAAACGACGAAAAAACCTCGGATCTTCCAAAATCAAGAACTTCTGGGATGGTGTACATTCAGCGGGTTGCAATAAAGCAGCATTTCAAAGATCGCCAAATCATGGACGACATGGTTCCGATCCATAAAAAGTCCAAAGACGAACCAATTAAACCGTTCTTCCATCCAGTACATAAATATAATGCAATATTCAGCATTCCAACATATTATCCGGTGAATGCTTTACAAAAAAACAGTATGACGCCTTTGCTCGTTATTGCCGCCTTTATGGTATTTTACCGCTCTGTTATATTACACAGAGATAGTTTCGTCAACAAGTTATGTGTTCGAGTGCAATAAGTGGGTAGAATAAGATCGCATTTAGATCAAATCACCTGTTTCAACTCCAAACAGATAAAAAGCAAATAATTTCATTGAAATCCTAGGCATAAGGATCAGTTTTGACATTTAATACCACCGCTACACACTCCCAACCGTCGTCTTACTTCTGTAAATGGCGATTCCCTTTATTGAATACCAAGGTAAACATTGCTAAATGGAGGACGGTAATTGTAACGGTACTGATCAATAATTAAGAGTTAGTACCACATAGTGGGCAAAAATTCTTGGAATCTTTAAACCCTCAGTTAGATAAATTACCTGAAAAGCCCAAAAAAACGTCACTGACATAGCCATAGAAAATATATCTTAAGATTAATCGAACTCTTAACTATTTACTTTTCTAAAAATGGATTTTTTACCCTTCGATATTGTTCGAGTGCTTTTGCAAAGGAAAAACTTATACTTGAGAGCACGGAAGGGAAGAAGTTAGTCATAAGGATTCCCAGATGTTTACAAATATGCACCGTAATAGATGTTCATAAATTTTAGCGGGCACCTTTTTGTTCCATTTCATGCCGCTTCAAAATTCCGTAAAAACTTAATTGACCCTCAAACTTGCAAACTTTTTCTCATTCTTAACCCAATCAAAACTTACAAGGAATTTGCATATCTTGGAAGCTCTCCAAATCCTCAACAAGTACCGCCACCAGTGCATGTCTGGGCGACTTAGCTCCGACATCGCCAGCTGCAGCGACCGATTCTGCCAGGCTGTTGCAGCATTCGGTATGTGTCGACGCTGTCACAACGCGAATGCGACCTCGTGTCTGCCACATTTCGCACATCCTAATCGCCGGTCGGGCCTCTGCGCACAAATTCTGCAAGAAAATCGCTTTTGCGCTAATCCCCTAGTGGATGCGCTTTGTCGCAAGTCAATCGCCTCACCTTATTTGCGTCCAATTTCCTCAAGACAAACGATGGTATCACGGCGATTAGGGAGGGAGAATTGACAAGGGGGCAGACAGTTTTTAACCTCTGAATGAGCACATCGTAGTCGAGCACTATATAGACAGGCATCCATTGCGAATTGAGGGCCTAAAATGAAATAACTAATTAACAGCCTATTGCATACTATTTAATGTCAGATGTGAAAGAAGCTTCTTAAACACCTTTACAAGCCTATTCAAGTTAGGTATTTCCTCATGAAAGACTTTTCCATGGTCACAAACAAATGACTTAAGAAAGTAAAGAGTCAAGATGCGATATAATACTCATTTAGAAAATAACATATTTATAATCATTTACAATATTCGTTTCCTGAATACAGATGTGACCTCAGTATACAGATTTTCCATTTCTTAAAATGGAATTTTAAAGGCGAACATGAGATCTCATACATAATCGTTTGCTTGTCTTCGACTTTGTCTTTCTATTGAAAAGAAACAATTGTAATCTCTACCCGCGCACAGTTCGTGTCTGACACATGAGACCAACGCAGCCCCAAAAGTGAAGGTATGATCCAGCCGTGGGTTACGCGCTCCTACGCATCCCAAAATGCGTGCCTACCCGTGGTCGCGCAGTTGTTAATGGGTTAATGAGGCTCATCGATTTGCAACATTGTTTCCCCGCCTAATAATCTGATACACTAGAAATGAAACTACAGAATCTCCATGAAACCAATTTCGGGGGAGATAATCACCCGCTAAACTTGAATCCCTTCAAAACCTGACGACGGTGGACAGAAAGAAGAAACTCTGTTATCAACATCTGGTTTAAAAAAACGTCTCAGAATGTATGATTACTTCCTTTATGTCTCGGTCTATCAAAGGTAATTGTTCATATTATCACAGCTTAGACTCGATTCTGATCACTTTTGTTTGCACATTTTGACACCAACGAACGAGTACATTTATTTGATAGCAGAAATTACTTGCTAAAACGCTTTCATGAAAACCCATTTGATTTTTTCACTTACTGTTTATCGAGCGATCTATGACTTGATCAAAGAGCGTACAAGCATATATGGCTGATAAATACCCACTTAACTGCTATTATGACGGTGATAAGTAGCCGTATTTTTGAATAACCCCAAGTACGCTATTTACCGTGAGAACCGTTGACGCAACCCTTCTTTGACATTCGCTGAAACATGTTTCAGCCAAAGCGTTTAAAGCCGTATATGCAGAAAATCGCGAGTTCTTATGATACTTCTTGCAAATAAAGCTCAAAACGCAGTTTGCTGCCATTTCTTCTCCATGAGAAATACACGCGGCTCATATTCATCCCTGAGGGCAGCACCTTGACAGTTTGCATGCATAATTAGAGGATCTCAATCGATTGCAACATTGACCCAGCACTTAGGCACCGTAACGTATAATGCGATGAACTGTGATGCACATTCTCAACTGATGATGATTTAAAAACTTGAACTTTTGCTAGCAATTTGACCTTTGTGGTGGTAACCGCTGTAGGAAGAGCCCTGTGGAGATAGCTTCTCTCTGCAGTTCAACAGATGCTTATTTTATCAGCTGGGATAAAATTGATTTACATTGCATGCCATTCAAAACATATTTGTGTATTTCCGGCAGCAATGAAAATGGGATCCAAAAAGTGAGTTCTGTAGGGGAAAGGATTTACGACAGTAACTCCTAAACTAATAATCTGGTCATGAGAGAAATTTCCTTTTAAAGAATATGGGGATTGGAAGGAGATTTCGTCATTGAGCACTAACTTACTGGAGATATACCCAATTATGAGAGTTTATCCTACATTTCGTGCAGAAATAGACGGCCATGTAACTTCTATTAGAAATGGTATAGGGTTGACACAATGTTAAAAATGATCTGGATTTCTGATTAAATAAGCTTCAAAGTTTCAATAACCTCACATTATCAAGACTTAAACAGTGATATCTTGGATATCGAGGCAAAGAGAGATTCTCTACACACTAAAAAAAACTGCTGTCCCTTTTTTTTGAACATTTATAGAAGTCAACGCGTCCAAAATACTGAATACTGAATTTCAGGGAGTTCATGAGCCACCATATTATATAAACACTCGTTCCAACATTTTCGCGCAGGTGTTTAACATCTCAAAGTACCAAATAAGTCTAGATG